TCATAGCTCATCATCACATGCCATGTCATAGATTTTTTAGTAATTTCAAAATTTAATAGCATTGCTTCAGCATTCTTTTTTAGATATGCATCAAAAAAATAAGTGCAATAAGATAAATTCCAATAGGAAGCAATATAAGCAAGGGAATATAAATAAAAGAGAAAGTTAAGGAATAAAACAAACCTAAGAATTGAAGATGAATTGCTTTCTTTTGTCATGGGCATGATCATCAAAGGTCATTATTCAAAAAAGAAGCTGGAATGGACACGATCCTATTTCAAGAATAAAAAAAAAAAATCATTTGTGTGGTAAGAGCTAATAAATGGAAGAGTTGATGGTAACACTTAACCATGGTGAGATTTAGCTTGGAGTGGAAGATCGTAATAGAAAAAGACACAACAGCTTAGAGTGGAAAATGGTAAGGAAAAAAGTAGTAGAACAAGGTTACGATCGAAAGAAGGCAGTGCCCATGTAGTTAATTTTTGTAGGCATATCCATAGTCAACTGGCCCAAATTTTGAATCTTGGTGGTAGAAATTTTAGCCTCTCTACCAAAATAATTACGAGAAAAACATATAAATAAATATAAGGAAATGCAATTTTCAAATAAGTTTATCAAACTAAGTCTCGACAATTGCCCTGAAGTAAAATGGTGTGCTCATGGTAATAGACCATAAGTCATTATACAATATTAAATATTGAAAATCATACCTTTTCTTTAAAATGATTTTTAGTTTCATCTCTCCATTTCAACAAACCTTTAACCAAACCCTTCAAATGTATTTCCAAACAATCGGTTTTAGATTTGGTAACCAATGCTTTGATAAAACCTAAATTAGCCTATGATGAAAAATAAATCAGAAATGGCTAGAATTTCTTTTTAGCTAATAATATGGGGTATGGGGCCAGAGGGAAACAAACATTTGTATATTTGGCAATGGCATAAATAAAATATTTAATGGCGTATAGCAACCAAAAACCAGGTTACTTTGATTATTTCATGTTTTTTTTTTTTTTTTTTATAAGATAAATGAAGATGAAAGCAACTTTTAAGAAAATCTCCTGAGATCTAAAAACTCATATGCCAAGGGGCCTATACCTTTGAAAGTAGCATTGATCATATGTGATGTTTCACTAACCAAACCTCCAACAACCTGTGCGGTTAGAGAAAGGAATATTTTGTTAGTTATGAAAATACTCATAATTTTGATATCTATAGCAATTGCAATATTTAACAATGCTAAGAGGGCACTTATCTCACTAATAAAGTTTGATCCGGTTATATTTCAAATTGTTTTTATTCTCAGAACTTTATTAGTGTTATTGTTCTTTTTGTTTTTTTAATAAGCTTTATTTATTTATTTATTTTTTTTGTCATTCTATTAATTACTTAAGGTTCTCTTTCAAGATTTGAGGTCTATAAATAGCTTGCATTCCTTTTGGAAAAGGGGAATTTGGTTCATTTTATTTTTAGAGTAAGAAATATGAGAGAATGGAAATTGGAAAGTTCTCCTTTCCTATGGATGGATTTCCCCTAAACTTCAGAGAAGGGAAGTGTGGGTTCGTAGTGGAGTCTTGGACTTCACCGTCATCATTCTACCATCCCCATTGCTCTCCTTTACCACTCCTTTCATCATTCCACATGCAGCTTATTCATTTCCATCCTTGGAAGCAGCAAACCAGGTCTGGGTTGATTCTAGTTGGCCAAATCATCAAGACCATATTTTAAGAGTAAGAAATAAGAGAGAATGGAAAGGTCTCTTTTCCTATGGATGGATTTCTCCTAAACTTTAGAGAAGAGAAGTGTGGGTTCGTAGTGGAGTCTTGGACTTCACCATCATCATTCTACCATCACCCTTGCTCTCCTTTACCACTCTTTTTATCATTCCACTTGTGGCTAATTCATTTCCATCCTTGGAACCAGTAAACCATGTCTGGGTTAGCCAAATCATCAAAACCACACTACCTTACCATTTGTTCACGAATTTGACTTTTTAGTTATTCAAACTAGAAAAATGAGTACATCAAAAGCAATGTTCATGTCAGCTGATAACTACAACATCTAGAAATGTGTTCTATGAGACACCTTTAGAAAATAATAAGTTTTTTTTGTGTTCCTGATGCCTATAGAGATTGTTTTTATTTGTTCAACATTTCCAGAAAGACCTAGAGGCACTACAGTTGAACCTATCAGGTTCTTTGTGCTACCAGTTTTTACTGATTACTGAACTTTGTGATAATAAACACCTATATGTGCCAATAAATGTGCCAATAATGTTCTTGAAGCTCACGAAGGTATTCATTAGCTGGGAATACTATCCTATCTATTCTTGGATAATAATCATATTTAAATATTAAAAATATTTTATTAAATTTATTGGATCTGACTTTATCCACATTTGATTTTACAAAATCCTACTTGGTGAGCTAATGAATTGAGTTTGACTCATACTCATTTTTATCATTTACCAAGTATAATAAAAATGACCCTCAAGTTGATCATCGATATAAGCTTTTGATCTTGGCACATTGCAAAACTTCTTATGAGTTGAGTTAATAACATAAGACTTTAAAGCAAGAGTAAGAAATTCCCAATAAACCTGTAACGATAACGAAACAAAGGAAACCTATAATCCATTTATTTTCATAGAATGTAAGTATCAATTGCCAGTGTTATGGTCTTAATGGGAATGAATTTCAAAAAAACAATACCAAAAAATCTGATTGAGCAACCATGTAGTGCACTATCATATAATTAACATTTGATTGTACTCACATGTGAAATAAATGCCAAAAGTGTCAAGGGAATGAAGTATCATCTCATAAATGCTTTTGGATTTCATAACATAAATGCTTTTATATCTTGATGTGTGTAAATAAAATTATGTTTTATATATTAAATTCCCAGTGAAACTAAGATATTTTAGTTATGTTGTGTAGAAAAAAATATAGGAAAGACATAAAATTTTAAATATCATACAGCGTCATGACGTCAGACACAGTACCACATTGACGCCATCATTGACACCACTATGGTAGCGCATAGTCTCTGTTCGATAGCATCGCGGCATCAAAGCAGTCAGTGCTGCAAAGCCTAGTCTCTGTTTGCACAGCACCATGACACCACATTGATGTCGCATCGCTCAACCATTAGCAGCACCACAGCGCTATAGTTGTAAAAGGCCATAACACAATTTGTAAGCGAAGTAACACGTCGATTCATTAAACAGTGGGCCCACAACAACAAGCGCCACAACGCGAGTGTCTAGAGCGCCGCAACGCCAAAGTCCATTTTTTATGTTTTCTATAAATAGTTCATTTGTAATGTTAGTAAGGGAGTTCAATCACTTAGTTAATTTTAATCTTCAAAATGCTTCTCTGTAATTTCCATAAGATATTTTAGGGAACACTAGATTCACTTCATAAGAGTTATTAGTCAATATTTGTGAAAGTAATTATGTAAGTTCAATGAGGAGTTTAGAGGAGATCATTGAACCTATCAGTGATATTTTTTCTTCTATATTTTCTTCCTTTTGTACAATTGATAAAAATGAGTTTGCTTCACTTATTTTTTGTGTTTTCCTAAACTCTCTAGTTTTGGATTGATGATGAAAAAGGAATATGGAGTATTAATAAATTTTCTTTATCAATAATTTAATGATGTTTTCAGTATAGCAGGTCTTCATTAAATGCAAACAGTGGCCATATTTGTAGTTATATCAGGTGCAATGTGGAGCCTCGTAATAGGAAAACAAGCACAACCATGCATATTGGATTGGTATGATGCAAACATAAGCATAATGTTTTATATATATCAAATTTATTGAGATGAATTATAATGAGGGGGTTTTAATAATACATGCTTTACTTACTCTTCTAAAATTTTCATTGGGTGACAGACTATGGGAGTTTAGATTGATATTAAGGTTGGATGGTTTAATCTATCATTTATTTCTTCATGCTCGACTAAGGGGTTGGTAATGCATATGCTCTGAATATCATCAATATAAAAGAGAATCATTATGAAACATATTGTATTTACATTTCGTCATTTAAAAAAATTTATCTAAATAGTGTTTCATTTAAATTTTTTATTGATTTTAAACTAAGTGATTTAATCTTCACCAAAACTTATTTTTATTTAGTAGGATAATTATTGTAATTGTAGTAGACAGTACTAATATTTACAAGTAAACATTCTTCCTCATGGAATAAATACTCTACTCTTTCACCATATTACTTAATTCAGCTCGTATACTTGTGTATATTAAGTAGGGGTTTTTATAAATTTTATATCAAAGAAAGCCGAAGCATTGTTTAGGGATTGATATAGTCATAATTCTTCAGGTTACTCCTCTGCCCCCATCAAGTATTTTTTTTTGTCATTGTCAAGGAAGAATTTCCTTTATTTGCAAAATTTATTATATTATTGAATCAATTGCATAATTAGTCATGCTATATTATTTTATTCTTTTATTTTATTAATAGATTGCATAATTGTGATTGCATGCTTAGAAGCCATATAAAAAAAACCATTGCTAAATTTTGATTCAAAAATTGAGAGAACACTATCTAAAATTAGAACCACAAAAAAAGATTTTGAAAATGACTGACTCTATTCAAGACTTAAATTATTTTAGACCTCTTATGGATTTTGCCAACTCTATGATAGACGGAATTCATCAGAGCATAAATAGACATATCATCCAAGCTAATAACTTTGAATTAAAACCTACATTTATTCTGATAGGATAAAATTCTCAGTTTGGAGGAAGTCCTATTGAATATAATAACATGTATTTAACTAATTTCTTAAAATTTTGTGCAATATTTAAATACAATGGTGCTAGTGATGATGCCATTAGATTTAGATTATTCCCATTTTTTCTAAGAAATAAGACAAAAATATGGTTAAATTTATCACCCCTATGCTCTATTACAACATGGAATATGTTGGCCTACAAATTTCTCGAAAAGTATTTCCCACCTTCTAAGACTGTCAAACTTAGAAATGATATTTCTTCTTTTATTCAGTTAGAAAGAGGATCTATTTATGAGAGTTGTGAGAGATTCAAGGAGATGCTTAAAAAGTTCCCACACCATGCCTTACCTGACTGGGTGATATTTTAAACTTTTAATAATGGATTGATAGGATCTCTTGAAGCCATAATTAATATTGTAGCTGGAGGTTCTTTGATGTCAAAGTCTTTTGAGGATGCTTATGAATTAATTGAGAAAATGAAAATAAATAATTTCCAATGGCCTGTTGATAGGATGAATCCTAAGAATAGCAGGAGTCTATAAAATAATTCTTTATCCATTTTGACTGCACAAGTCGCAGCAATATCAAAGAAGTTGAGCACTTTAAGCTTAAATTTTGACTCATGTTTACATTTGGAAGATAAAAGCTCAATGGAAAAGAATGATATCCAAGAGATTGAAAATATAAATGTAATTGAAAGAGAAAATAATGCTTATTCAAATACACAATCCAAGTTGGAGGAATAACCTCAATTTTAGTTTGTTAAATAATAATGATGGAAATCTATAGAATTATGGTCAAAATAACGAGGAGCAAATAAGAATAATCAAAATCAAGCTAATAATAATCCAAGGCTAGCTTATCCTCCTAAGTTTAATCAACACAACCAGTTTGGGACTAGAAATACATTATTAGAAGATGTGATTATGCAATTGGGAACTAAATTACAAAACCAAACTTCTTCAATTAAAAACTTGGAAACTCAATTAAATTAGCTTGCGATTTTTGTGAGTAGTAGGCCCATAGGATACGTACCTAGTAATATTGAAGTTTATCCTAAAAAGAAGGAAAGAGATACCATGGGAACCAATTGAAGAGTAACAATCATCCATCTTAGCCAATTGGAAAATCTGGGCAAGTCTAGCTGAAGATTATAAACAAGCGCTGCTTCAGAGAGGTCACCCATGTATGTGTTATACTAGTATCCATTATGTTATAAATATTATGTCATATTTTATGTTCAACATATATTTTATGCACATTTTATCATTTTTTATGAAAGTATGTGTTGTAGTGTTTGTTTATTTGTTTTATTTACATATTAGTAAATTATCTTCATTATTAAATTGTTATTGTCTCCAATTACTTTTATATTCTTATTATTTAATCAACCATTTTAAAAATGACAATTAAAATTTATATAAAATGAGGATAATAATAAAATCCTAAATTCTAGTTTAAATAAACTTTGTTTATAATTTATAGGTTAGAAAAACTAATACTTAACTCATTCAATCATTTGAGCTATTATCGTAATTTGAATTTATAAGTTTATACATTTATGAAAATCACTTTTAAAATTGTAAGATGAATAATTAGCAATAAAAATTAAATATAAGTAGATTAAACTTTGAAATCATAGCTAACCTAAAGATGTAATTAATAATCTCATCAAGTCCTTACAATAAAATTATTAACTATATGAAGGTATAAAACAAAAGTTAGTATTTAAAATCATTAATTATATACTCCACAAAAAAAAGAACTATAAAAAAGTTTTTAAAAAAGAATTAAAAGAAAAAGATTGAGTGCATTCAAAAATTATTATCAGTAAATGCTTAAGATTTAAAATACAATCTTAAACATAAACCAAAAAGGATAAGAAGGGAGAGCTAATACAAGGGGTGATGAACTACATTAAGTATAATTTTAACTACCATCATATCTAATTATTAAAACTCAATTATTCACTTCAACAATTAAAAGTTAATGATTAATCTATAACTTCTAACTTAATATTGGGCTGTAACTATAATGATTAATTAATTTAATTATTAGTATTTTTTTAAACTAGAAGTATATCCTTGTTCATTTTCACTAATTTTAGATAGTGATGTATTATCCTATATTTTAATAATTTTATATTGTCACTTTTTATTTTGGTTAATCACTTAATTATAATTAATAAAATTTATCCAGAGATTTCGCCCTCATTTTGCGATGACTTTATGATCTAAGTTCTGGTTTCCTATAGGCGTAAGCCCCTATAGTTAATTACCTTTCCCGACAATGAGAGAGAACTTTCGATTAAGGCCAATTGTCAATCAGATAAGTATAGATACATGTTATCTGGCATATAGTAGCAGCATTGGGCTTAGGTATTTGGAAATGTTGAAGATTTGATATTTAAAATTTAAAATTTTCACCATCTTGCACTAAAGAGAATGGTGGGGAATGGATGATGGATCACTATGTGCATGATGGACCTTATACAGTAACTTGTGGGCACACTATAATTTCTTCAAACATCTATAATCTTTAATCAGTGTTTGCACATAGATGTAGTAAGAGCTATCATATTTTCTTGCATGAAGATTGATGTCAATCCCAATTTCTTTTATTGGTAAGATTGAATGTATCTGCTTTTATTTTAATGTTGCTTATGGAGCATTGTTACAGAAATCTGCACTACGACCCTATGTCATAATCGATAGGTACATTCATAATTTTCTTCGTTTGCAAGTAAGCTATCATGCTCATTTACAAATTACATAATGTGGGCCATAGGATGTTGTATTCATTGCACAACTTCCTATACTCGTAGGAGTTTCCATGCATACTTATAAGATAGAGAATTTAAGGGATGTCATCTCACTTGTAGTTCAACTACTTTCATATTGTTCAACTATCATTATAATTTGCAGATAAAGCATCACATTTCTACCATTCTTATTGGATGTCAATTATAAATGAGTCATGTTTCTATGACTCCATGCTCAATCTGTCTTCTAAAATTAATTCTAAAAATTGTTCATTCTCGTAGGTTGGTTGTAGTGTACATATACATGATTAACTTGACACCATTAATCGTTAATATTTGCCATCCAGTTGAAATGATGATTCTTGTTGATCGTCATTTGGGGATGAGGCATGTTTAACATTATGAGTGGCTTATCATGATTTAAAGGCCCCGTACTATGGCTCTATGATCAAGCTCTCTCTCCCATGACCTTCTTTACTTAAAGATCACATTATACTTGCAACATGTATGATGAACTTGGGAATATCCATGGTGACGCTTGCTTGAGAACCCATTATTATATGTATCAACTTCTTTTATTTCCAAGAGGACAATCATATTTGCTCATATGATTGATATGCACATCAACCCTCATCATCTTTATATGGTTCATAAGATGTTCTTTTGGATGCATTTGAATGATCATAATTTTTGACATCTTCATTTAGATCTTACATGTTGACTTGAAGGTAGGTTATCACATCTCCTACAATTCATGTTTGTTGTTGCTTAAGGATGAGTCAAATCCAATATCACAAATCAATGATCCAAAGTATTCATATCATGACTTCGTAGTCAAGTCATATCTCCAACTGTCTTGTGTTGTTTGTGCACAAATTCTATTTGCAAACCCTTTGTCTTCAAAGGTAGTTCAAACCTACTTGTAAATTTTTGTCCTCAAAGATGATTTACAAGATACACGATGAGCTTGATACCAATCCCTTCACTCACATTGAGATGGTTGTTACAGGCTGAATATAATTGCTCAAATATGCTTTATGCCAAAGCTTGTAATGAATTTGTGCATGAATCCTTGCTTGGATGAGATTTGGATAGGTCTTCCCCCTTTATCTTGAGCCTATTTCTTACAATTCATTCAAGTCGGATCCTTTATGACTCCTCATTTAAGTCCACATTAAGTTCATTGTTGTTCACTTAATATTCAATTTAGGTCTTCTGTTATTCATTTAAGTTCTCTTATCATTTCATTCAGTTCAAGTTCAAATCTTTGTTATTTGTATTCAAGAGAAGCTTGTTTGAGTTCATTGCAGATTCGAATTCAAGTTCAATATCAAAGTTCTTTATGTCCAAAGTCTTGTTCAAGTCCTTTGTAGTCCAACTCAAGTCTTTTCTTGAGTTTCAAGTTCCACTCTAAATTGTTCAATTCAAATTAAATACGCAAGTCCAAATTTTGCAAGTTAAAGTTATTGTAGTCTTTGTTGAGTTTATGTCCAAGTTATCTTTTTTATTTTACTTAAGTCCCATTTGTTCAATCAAGTTCAAGTATGATCTTGTGTTCACCCAAAATTTTTTTAGCCTCCTGGCGTCTCCCCTGTTTAGGGAAAACTATGGGAAATTGGGCATTCCCACCATGCTAAGAAAAGCATGTATGGTAGGTATCCTCAAACACCGCGGCCATATTTTCTTCATCCCCCACCACGCTAAGAAAAGCATGTATGGGTCTTCCATAAGTACATGGTAGAAAAACAGTTATTTCCCCACAAGTGGGTACTTATGTGTATCCCTACTTCATCGTACGCGTCGCACAAGGTTCTCATCCCACCACGCTAAGAAAAGCGTGTATAGGCAATTTTCCGGTGTGCCACGAACATTGAAGAAGGGATTTTAGGTGATTACCCACTTCGTTGCAAGCATCGCGACGCCCACTTCGTTGCAAGCATCGCGATGCACTTCCTCTCACTAAGCTAAGAAAAGGGTGTATATGTGTTCTTTTTGTCACTCCGCATGCGTTGAAATCAGGCTCTCATAGTTTTAGAGATTAAAGGGGTTATACCATTGCATTCCGAAGAATGGAGGGTACAAAAATCGAGGCAACCTCTTTTTTTTTTCTTTTTTTTTGACATCTCTCTTTTTGTTTTTCTCACACAAGCACAATATATATGATCTTTAACAATACTAATAATCATTCTTATAATAATAACCAAATAATAATAAAACAAAAATAATATTAACTACATACATAATAACTAAAGGGGTCGGAAGAGGTAGAAGGAGTATCGGGCAAGCTTGGTGGGTTTGGCTGGCTTTGGAGGGAGGAGTCGAGAGCTGCGGCTAGGGAAAAACTTTGGATGAGGTTCGAACAAGGGATTGGGAAGGCATGCGGCCCAGTTGTCTTGCGGATTTGATCGGATGGAGGCGACAATGGGAGGTCGGAACCTGGGGAAGATCGACGGGAGGAATGCCTTTGACTAGGTATGGAGAAGGCTCTACATCTCTCTCTCTCTCTCTCTCTCTCTCTCTCTGGACCAAATGGGTCAGAAGGCTTTCAACAGAGAGCTTTGCCAGGGTTATAGAGCAGGTCGGGA